GTCAGTCCCGAGTTCTGTAAACCTGCTAGAGCTGTAAGAGAAACACCATTTCTGCCATTTGAGATTGGCAGTGGCAGTGTGTTGAAAATCCCACCTAGGTATTTGCTCTGTGTGCAGGCCTCACACACCCTTTGGTCTAAACTGCTCTTCCTCAGTGTGTGTGTCTGAGAAAGGGACASAGCTGTGCCAGGAGCAGCCCAGCACTCCCAGGCACTGACCCTCTGCTCCATTTACACTGGAACCGATGCACATGGGAGCCCCTTGCCCTGGGAGGTGCCAGCTGAGGGGAGTGGTTTGTGCAGCASGGGCTACCATGGGCTGACCATAAAGTGCAAGGGGTTTTCCCTCTTGGAACYGGGAAGGGACAATAGGGGCTTTCTATGGCTTAAATTGAAGAGTGAAAGGCCTTTTTCAGACAGTGCAGAGAGCAGATTCAGGGAGGGATTGGTCTCCACCTGGGTCAAGCTGGGACATGCTGGTGCATCCCTCAACTACACACATTGCCCTTTGCTATCTGCTGCTCCTACCCTCTGGTTTGGGCTGCAGAACTCCCATGCGTGGAGGGACAAATTTGAGGGACACATGGGGATCCCTTTGAACACCTGCAGAAGTGCTGACRCTGCCAGCAGCCTTGGGCAGCCTCACCCCTCTGTAGATGTTCTCTTTCAAACCTGGGGACTGAGCTAATGGCTGAAAGGCTTTTCCATGGCTCAGCTATAGTTTGGCACAGTTGTGACACCAGTGCCTCAGGCAGGAGTAAGCACTGGGAGAGGATTCCAGCCCTTTGCCTGTGTGCCAGCAGTGCAGAACGGGTGCCCTTGGGTCAGCAGAAGAGACGGGAAATGACACACACCACTCTGGAGCACGGGCAAAGATTTCAGTGGGGGAAGCACCGAGCAACTGTCGCASGAGCAGTGAACTCCGCGATTGCTCAACAGCTGGCCCGGGGCTCTATTTTAATCCCTCCTCTGGGAATTGGAGTCAGCTGTGGCAGCATGAACTCACCATACTGATGCACTTACCAAAGGAGCCAAACCCTGTTGCAAATGCTGTGGAGTCCCAGGCTGAACCTGCCGGTTCTGGTGCATCTCAGGAACCACATGGGGCAGTACTACAGGGGCTGCCTGGAGGGGCAGCAGCTGAGGGAGATGGGGTAAAGCAGAGCTTACACAAAGGTCCCCACCCTGTAGCATGTGGTCATGGTCAAAGAGGCAGTTCAGGGACCCAATTGTGCACTGTGCTGGTTTTCAGACCACTGGGGCTTGGCAGGGAATTTGCAATAGCTCTGAGCTCCTCAAACTCCTATCTCCCTCCTCCTTCTCTTCTGCTTTCAKAACTGAGAGGTGCAGGCCAGGGAAAAGCCTTCCTCCTCATCTTCGTCCATGGGCTAATTTGCCTAGAAAGGGGAAGTGTTTCAAGCAGACAGGTGGGYGAGCAGGATGGGGGTCAACACCAACAAGCCTTCCCTGATGGTGCTCCTTCCCTTGCTCCATGGCCCCGGGAGGTGATGCAYGTGCTGGGGCTGCATGGGACAGCTCAGCAGTCATCTAACATGAATCTCTCCATGCCCTGGGCCCTTCCCTCCCCAAGGTTTGGCAGGGACAGCTCCAGCATGCTTTTGGCATCCTACCTGTGGATGCAGGGATTGAGGCACCCCATTGCCACAATGCACCAGAAACAGTAAATGCAGGAGCAATGGAAAGCCCATGGGGGACGAGCTGGGAAAGAAACAGTTGAAATGCAAACTCCGACTCTGCTTTCATTCCTGGCTGTTCCTGCAAGCAATGTCCCCATGGCATGGCATTCACAGCACTCCAGGTGCCTTTGCTCCTCTGTTTTCCTTACTCCAACTTTGTCCCTCATTCCTTCACCTAGGCAGGGCCAGGGCTGGATCCCTGTGTCTTYGGGATTATCCCTTGCTCCTAGGGGKTCTGCACTGGAGTAGGGYGCCAGGTAAAACCTGGGAGGKCAGGGATTAATGGAGATGTGGGAGCCAC